CGTCCTGCCGCGCGACCCTGGTGAGTCCCTCGCCCTCTCCGAGCGGAGCCTCCTCCTCGGTCACTAGAGGACGAGAATGGAGCGCGAACCTCTCAGGGGTGTTGTGAGAAGTTACAAGAATAAAGTGCGTGCCCCGCCGGATTGCCCGGTTTGGTTAGACAAGAGCGTCCTCCTGCTCCGCCGAGGCGGCGGGTTTGATCCTGGGTCAGGGCACAGCCAAGAAGCAACCCGTGAACGCATAAATAAGTGGAACAACAAACCCATGGTTCTCTTTCTCTCTCCCCCTCTCTCTAATAAATAAATAAAAACTTAAAAAAAGACAGAATAAAGTACTTAGTGTGCCGTAGAGAAAAGGACTGGAACCAACCCGAATGCCTCCCTTGGGTATTGGCTCAGAAGCGAGTACATCCACACCGCGTGGCTAATGAAGAAGCGGTGTTAGGTGGGAAAGCCTATTGCAAAATAGTTTGTGCAATAGACCTCACTCTGTGAAAACACACAAAAAACACTTTCCGTTCCTAGAAGCACATTTTTAGTAAATGTGCTTTAGGGGAAGGTCTGGGGGGTTATATGTCAGGCTGTTGATGGGAGGGTGCACTGCATTGTCGAATGGAGAGTTTCTTCTATGTATTCTGTACTGTGCAGCCCCTCTCCCCTTTTATTACAATGGCTGGTGTTGGGAGGGTGCACTGCATTGTCGAATGGAGAGTTTCTTCTATGTATTCGGTACTGTGCAGCCCCTCTCCCCTTTTATGGTGTCACTTCTTTATTGAAACAGAAAACCAGAGTTCTAAAATACACTCTTTTCGAGACTTTTATGGCAGCGTAAGGCATGATACACATGTCATACATTCATACATACCTGTGGATGAATGGCTTAGCATGATGTCTGTGAGCCCATCACTGGCACCCCTAGACCGGAAGTTGTTTGGAATTCAGAAGTTTTTAAATTTCTGAAAGATAATACAGTGCACATAGTATATCAAGTAACCCCTGGCAGCAGAATCTAGGGCAACACTCAATCAAACCTGTTAAATTTTTTTTTTATTGAACCATAGTACACATACAGAAATACACATTGTAAGAACAGCTTGATGGAGTTTTACAAACTCAAATACGTGAATATTTCTGCTGTAAAATATATGAACATTTACATTAAGTGGGATAAATGGAGATTACAAGCATGCTCACATCAGTAGGCCAGCTGGTATAACCCTGGGAGTTTGGGATGTCAGAGCTGAGGATAAGGGGCTGTGGACCTGCATTGGTAGGGGGGAGAGTGTCGAATGAGCAAGGCTTTACAGGAGAGCCTACAAAAGGCCTCAGGGCCAGGAGAGGATGGGAGCTCAAGTCCCTGGATGTCCCTCCAGACGGGTGTTTGCTCATGTACCTTCTTCCTTCCTGCTATTTTGCTCTTTCCCTAGGAGCTTGTGTCCAGATGCTGGCCCAGTTGCCACAGGGAATCCCTCTGGGAGACTGAAGGGCAGGCTCCTGGGTTGAGGCCCACCAACCCCGAGCCTTAGGCCAGGGGGATGGCAGCCGCCCTGGAGCCCCGGGACCAGGCCCCTGGGGAGGGAGCAGGGCTTCTCATCGTGAAGGTGGAAGATTCCTCCTGGGACCAGGACTCTGCCCAGCAAGAGGACAGCAGGGACTCCGAGGCCTGCCGCCAGCGCTTTCGGCAGTTCTGCTACAGGGATGCGGGCGGGCCCCATGAGGCCTTCAGCCAGCTGTGGGAGCTCTGCTGCCGCTGGCTGCGACCTGAGCTGCGCACCAAGGAGCAAATCTTGGAGCTGCTGGTGTTGGAGCAGTTCCTGAGTGTGCTGCCCGGGGGTGTCCAGGACTGGGTGCGAGAGCGGCGCCCCGAGAGTGGCGAGGAGGCTGTTGCCTTGGTGGAGGACCTGCAGAAGCAGCCAGTGAAAGTATGGCCGCAGGTGAGGGGCCCTTC